CCCGCGCCGCGCTCCCTGCCGCACCTAGGTTTTTTCCCACCACGGTGTATCTCGCGCGTTGCTCCACCTCCCGCTCATCGATCGATTTTCTTAAATGCCTCCCGAGTCCGGCCTACCGTCTCCTGCATCCTCATTCGCTCAAACGTATAAATTTCTTTGTCGATAACTATTGTTACTTTGTACCTCGGTACATGATATTTCTCCTTAGTTTAACCCAATTTACCGCTATTTGCAAAGTGGCTACTTTTGCATCAGACACCCTGTATAATAAATGTTATAAGGATTCGAGTGCGCTATTACATACAGGGTCATCAAAAAGTATCGGACCCCCCCTCCCTAATATTTAGGTAGAATGCATTTTGGATAAAATGTCCTATAGCAAATTTGTATGGTTTCAAGCGGGGAGTAAAATAATGATCTCGACTTTGTCCTTGGCCGTGTCCGTCAAGGTTTTCAAGGTCAACTTAATTTTTTTAAATAGAACCCCCTACTTTTTATTGCATATTCTTATAGCTTATTTAGAGAGCTTACCAAAACACTTTAATAAAACATTTGTCATTAAATACTTTTTGAGTTATAAAGGTTTGAAGCTAACAATATTTTGACACAAAATGTACTTAGCAAATACAAAAAGTTCTACCGCCATATTCACCTGACAATGTGAAAAAGACGGTACATGAATTGACTTTTTAATTGTATTAATTTAATAGTAATTTAATTGGCCACCTACGCCAGGTCCTAAATGGCGTTTATGTTTTAAATTTATTTATATCTTAAAGGACTGAGTTCAAAATTAGTTGTTTATATTATATGTATAAAGACGTTGCTAAACTTCCTATGTAAGCTAGGTTTTGGTTCTAAAGCAAGAACTATTCCTTACTTTTGCGAATGTGTTCATCCTAATTGTACGTGTCACAAATTTGATCGTGCTTAATATTGTATATTATGGATTATACGCAGGTCAGTTTGATGAGACATGGTAAATTGTTAGTTGAATCGGCGCCGCAGAAATTACTGAGGCAATTTCAATGTTCGTCATTCGAAGAAATTTTCCTGAAATTGTGCGAGGCACAGACCAATGCAGTCACTTTAAATGAAGCTCAGGAATCCAATATGGAAGACACTGGTAGCGATGCCTTCAATCACGATCAAGACAATTATGAACAACTAAAAGTATATACGAATTTTATTGTTATAAAAAGCTTTGCAAATTTATATAATTTTAAGACATTAATACGTCACATTATTAAGGAAAACAAAACGATTTCGGAAAGACAAGTTTCACGATTGAGAAGATTCAAAGCTCTATTTGTGAAGAACAGCATCCAACTTACCCGTGATTACTCGTAAGTATTTATCATAACTTATCAATAATGTAGAAGGGACATTCTTGTCAACAAAATAAAATATTTAGTTGTATTAAATTTGTTTGCATTATTGAACAAGTATTAAAAATTTGTCTCATTAATATATTAATATTAATAGTAATATTATTTTCATTATTTCTTCCGATAAAATTTTATACTTGATATTGTTTGAATATAACATTCCAATAAAAAATAATAAAGTACCTAGTTTGTATAAATATTCAGTTTAGTTGGCTCCATTTGATGATATCATTATTTTTGTTGAGAAGATACTTTGGAGGGGGGGAGAAGAAAAACAACTTTTTTTTATAAATAAATGATATCCAAATATTAACTGAAGAAGACTGATTTATTCGCGTGGTTGTTTGCGCACTTCTGTCTCACGATTTATTTACTATACTTCTTATATGTTCGATTACGAAAATTTTTAGATATGTCTGTGTTATTATACGTATACCTTTCACATATTTAACTGTGAAATCTTTAGATAGGCCCGTTATATACATTTCAACAAGACCGATTGCGCATTCTCTATTGTAATTTAATTTATTTTATGAATTCACGGATGTTTTAAATTCTAATTATTTTTCTTCGTTATACTGAAGATGGTCCAATAAGGACCGAAACGTATAAATAGGTTCTTTGGACACTACTACCCTGTTCAAGCTCTAAGCCCTTTCTCTTATCATTTGATTTTATCATACGAGCCATTTTCATTTAAATTACTCGTATATAGTTCTTCATTGGATGACGCTTATACTTGGCAAATTTTTTTAACCATAATTATTTAAAAAGCTTATTTTTTAAGGTGATTGCCATATACAAGCTAGAGGTTATATCTCAATACTTTGAGTTTTTATCAATTGAAAATTCATAACAATAATAATAATTCTTTCAGAATTCTCACTCTTGCGTTACTCATGCCGATACTCCAACTCAGTATATTGGTTTTCGCAATAGGGAGTGATCCAAAGAACTTGACTATTGGAATTGTTAACGATGAAGCTGGCAATTGCGACGGCAGCAACTTTGGGAATATTTGGAATGATAAAACTACTTGCCACTTCGGCAATCTCAGTTGTAGATTCCTAAACCATTTCGACAATTCTATTGCGACACAGGTGTAATTCCAAAATTAATAATGTAATGTAATTATATAATAACATGTTTAAGTACACGAGTAGGTACAATGGCGTTTTCTGTTTTCTCGGTAACCTCTTCTTTGTCATTATTCCGATGTAAATTGGAAAGTTTTTTTCAACATTAATTAAAAGAAACAATAATAATTATAACGTGTTTGTTGATGATTCTCATTAATTATATTTTGTTTTCAGAAGTATTATGACAATATTTCAGAGGCAAGGTATGATGTCCAAAGGGGAAATATTTATGGTATAATATATTTTCATCAAAATTTTTCCGAAGCTCTAGAGATACGAGTGGAAAATGTCACTTTCACGAAGGATTTTCATCTTCTTGCCAGTCAGATTCAAGTTTTCTTCGACATGAGCGGTACGTTACATATTGTGCACAGCATTTCACAAATAGTTAAAAAATTTCACTAATTTGTATATGTGTATGTACGTTTTGACATACCCGCGCGCTTGCGCGTAGAACCGCAGCGATAAAAATTTACAAGCACGTACGCAACCCCAATGACCTTGACCCTGACATATGTTGTCAAGGTCACCTTCCTGAGTGACCCTCACAAGGTTTTAGCCGTCGCTCGTTGTTTGTTAAAAAGTTATGAAGAAAGAAGTTTCGCGAATGCTATGTAGTTTACGATACCATGTACATTTAAGAAACCACTGGAAACCATGTCAAAGTTTTGGGGTGGACTTTGCTTCGCGTGTGTTTGGAGAAACGATTAAAACTCATGCAATCTGGGATTTGCGAAAAAGATGGTCCTTCTTCATGGTCCGTGCTCTACACCTACTCGACTCGTGCGGACCGCTTCTACGGCCCGCACTTCCAGCCAATCAGGCAAGGTCCTTCTTCATGGTCCGCGCTCTGTACCAACTCAATTCGCACGAAACCTCTCGATGAGCCGCTCTCTCCACCAATCAGATGCGCAATCTGACATGGGCCCTCTCCATGGTCCGCGCTTTTCGACAAGAGGTCGAGCCTCGGACGAAGCTTGTCTTTGTTCGAGTGCTTCGCTACGCGCCGCTCGTACTTTACGGTCCGTAGTTTGGTGAACGTTCTTTTGTTTGTTTGATCGATAACGCGAGTGAGTACTCTTTCTCGAGGCGATTGCATTATCCGAGACGAGGGAGGCTCGGAGTTTTTGGAAAATCGCTTCGTCCGCAAGGACTTGGTGCCCGCTAACACACCCAGGAAAACCGCTTCGTCCGCAAGGACTCCCTGCGTTTGCTCATACTCTAGAATACCCGCCTATTCCAAAGGATCGTGCGCTTGCTCGCACCCGGAATCACTAAATCCTTACAGCCAGCAGATCACCACCCGGATTAATGTGTTGAGGATAACGAGGACAGCGATTCCCAGTTGATGGTACGACGTCGAGATCAGATCGGATAAGTACTCATTTCACCGACGAGAGGAATTCAGTCGCCCGTCGTCTCAGAGCATGGATTAACAGTTTACGTTCTTATTTCTACCTGTCTATTTTGACATAAGTAAACATCCTTGTAATCTTTTTATTAGCGTATAAATTACTTCCTGAGCAATAGAGCCAGCGAGTAAAGTGCAAACAGCGTGAAAAGTCGCAAACCCATGTGGAACATGAGTGGAAGTACAACGGTGGAAATACATGCTTGGAGACAGTAAGTTCCGCCCCCCCCCCC